AAAGAGGAACAATAGGGGGTCCCCAGTTGCAAGCAAATACACACTTGGGTGTGTGTGTATGTGTAAGGCAGCAACATGGCACTGTACAGCGATCTACACAAAGGAAAAGCGCTAGTACACCCAATTGACTGCCCCATCATTTGTCATACGGGGTTAGAAATAACCCAGAGTTCATTATTGTTGTGCATCGGGGAGAAATAAAATGGCCGAGTGGAATTCACAGTATGTCTCGCATCGAATAGTCTTGAGTCATCCCGAGGGGTGACGGGCCGGCGCTGAACGATATAGGGTTTCACACAAACGTCCGTCTCGGCTGCGTTTGCAATCTAATTACGCCAATTTGCGCACGGGGGTGATGCAAAAGCCACGCAGCATGACGGAGGTAATATCGAGGGTGAGACGTTGAGAGACGTGGAATGGTCTGCCGGCTCGGGGAGGGCCTGGATCGAATGGAGGGGATTGGGAGGTGGGGGGGATGGGTGGGGAGAAGGGAGGCCATGATGCATCATCCTTGTCAAAACAAATGCAGGATGTCTGGGTGCGACCAGGTCGGGGCGTGGCGCACGAGGAGGGGAGAATGATTTAATCGGAGACAGGTTTGTGTTGAGAAGGAATCGCCGAGGGTTACAAGAAAGCATAAGGGCTTGGGCATTGTTGTTGCAAAGCTTGCCACAAAGACAGGAAATTTAGACAACTGTTACTAATGACTCCAGAGTTTCCATATGGTGCAATTATTTCTATGAATTTTAAATGCGTAATGTATACGAAGCAAGATAGGGTCTATGACTCAGTTTCTTTGCTCTGGTTAAACGATACAAGAATCATAAGGCATGACAATTAAATTTGTGCACTTCATCAAATGGAATAACAAACTGACACAAGATGTTGGGAGTGACTGTTTCCGCAATGAAGATGGAAAATAACTGTTTCTCTATCCATCATCCGCACAGTTTGTTATCAAAATTCCAAATTCTCAATGAGCTTCAGATGGGCAATTCAAACTGGCAAGATTGAGGTCTGTTAGGGCTAATGGTGAAATACTTGACTGGAGTGTTCACACACACAGGTGCCCCCCCCAAATAAAAGATGTTTGTCTGCCAGAGAGTCTTTAACATAAGGTGTAAAGTGGATTTTTAAAACCTTTAATGGCTACCAACACAGAATAGGAATGATTAAAATCACAGCATGGATGGGTGAGCAAGTGAGAGCTTTTCTTGGGATTACTTGCAAAAGTAGAACACTGGAAAAACCACAAATGGGGAAACTTTTACATTTTTCGTCAGCTTCTCATTTTGAAGGAAATGAGAACACTTATGCGGCTTGGCGCCGCTTACAGACTGTCCATTGTTACTTCAGGTTGATTTAAAGTTGATGAAAAGCTGCTCACCACATCAAATCGGATGTTAAGGAAAGGAAGGAAAGGCTGAAATAACACGCGAGTCCGTCACTGGGGATTGGCGACTTCATTCACACTTGGGCCTGCCGCACAGTTTGCTAGTTAACTGGGGCATGCTGCCGCTTGGACAATTGACTCGGACGAGACGTATGAGAACGCAAACTGCACACAACCAGAAGTGACTGTGCAAAATGACAGATTATCAGGAAGCACAGCCTAAAAAACCCCACTGGTCACGACTTCCCGATTGGGAATCAGATGGAATATCTAGACCGGGCCACGCAAGGTCACTTCCACTTTCATCCAAAGAAAAGTGAAACAAGAAGTGAGCAGAAGCCATTTGAAATGTGGATGAACATGAAGCTGAGTAAAAAAAAAAAAAAAACATCCAGTTTTAATCAAGTTCATCACGCCCAACCTTCAAGCTAAAGAGACAGGCCCGACAGGAAAGATCTGCCTGATAAGATGCATTCTACAATCCTCCTCCATCCTTCCTGGTTCGTGCGTAAAATAATATACCAACAGGATTTCGATGAGGGCAGAAAAACAAACTCTGCTATCGACAACAGTTTTGTTTCAAGAAGTCAAGGAAATAAAGTTGATGCTGTACAGGTCTAAACATACCGCTACACTGGGCATACCATTTTCAAGTGGAGAGCACAATGCAAAAGACTATTTGTTCTGAAATAAAATTTAAGTTCGAGAACGATTCTACTAGGGTCAAAGGTTTAGGCCTTGTAACTTGTACATACATTCTGCAATTTTCAAGTACCAGTAATTCCCATTAGTAAGCAGTTTCTAGCTGTTTTATAGATAACCATTTGATGGCACAAACTGACTTCAAACCGAACTCGGGGCCAGAAGCAAGCCAGCAAAATTTATCTGACAAATACATGTACCTCCTTCAAACATCTCCAAAACAGTCCAACTTATACATACATGTAGCTAACTTTAGTTTATAGTTTTTGTCAACTTCCATCTTCTCCAATCTCGTATTTGTTTGTTGAAGGATTGACTGCAGGATTTGAAGTTGAGAAGCCCACCCACCCTTGCCTTATGCTGTTCACTCTCACTGAAAAGAACGTGCCGCTGGTTTAAAGGTGCAGTCCATCATTTGCAGTTATCCAAAAAATAACAGACAACATGATTGCTGAAAAGCCCTCCTGGTTGAAAGATGATTATGAAACTCCCTGTGAAATTATTCTTTAAGGAAAGCTGTCATTTTGAAGAAAACAGAGACAGAAAAAAATTTCCAATGACACTTCTGCAGATACATTTTTTTTGGCAAAACTGCCGTCAGAAGCCTGTGCAAGCATTGGCGCAATCGCGGGGACTGTAACTGGTCAGTTGAGTGCGCGACACTGTGTTGCTGCACTGGACTGACATCAGAACCCATCCCTGACGTTGCTAAATTCAAGCGCAACTCGAAACATGACTCAGTAAATTTTGATCTGAAATCAAACTCCTAGAATACGGTTTTTCTCAGAAGACACAGTATTCACTGAACTGAACCTTTATCAGGTTCGCTCTTAGGCACCCTTCTTTACATCTCAAGTAATTTCGTTGCCTCAAAGGAACGTGACGCACAAATGACAAGTGACGGACAGTACCTTTAACGGACATTCGTGTGGGCTAGGTTTCATTTCTGGAGGATTATGGGAAGCTTCCACAGAGAAACACCAAGGGCTTAGGGTTAATCACTTTCAGTCATGGCATGGCAGAGAGTCGTGGCAACATACATATATATATATATATATATATTTTTTTTTTCTTACCCCTGAATGGTTCAGCCTGATTGCCTCCAGTGGCAATGTAATAATGTTGACCACTGGAGTGTGACATTACATACACACATGCACATATTACAACTCCAGTATTTCAACGGCACAGGCTCTGCATTGTACAAACTGTGGACATATTTGGAAGTACATGCATGACCACATGTGTACATGAACGATGAGTTTGCATGCAAATTGCTTGCTAAGAGCTGTGGTCTGGCATAAATATGCAGAAATCTTAACTTGTGAAATTTTCTTGTTACACACTACGTGCTAAATTATGAACAGATAATGCACGTAATTTCAATACAGGTTTGATTTGGTCACTTCCTGAAGTTAACCAAATAGTTTTGTGAGTTATTTAATTTTTTGGTTGTTTAAAATTTTTTTCCCCCCTGAATCCTTCAAAAATCCTCCAGAAACACCGGTGACACAATCTTTGGACTTCACCTTGCAAGAGACATCAATGATCAAACCCCATGTGAGCTAACAGTGGCTGGGTTCCACTTTCCTCAATCCTACAAAAACCTCCATACACTCCCTGGTGAATTTTAAAGGATCTGGGAAGGTGGCTATGGTCACTAGCTTTCACATAAGCAACTTTGGGTTTAAATACAATTCACTTGCATCTAAAAAAAAAATAAGTGATTGGAACCACACTCTTTAGATCCAATGTCCAAACCACATTATAAATGACAGCAGACAGACCCCATCAATTTAAGCACTGTTAGCACAACATTCTGTCCCAATCCTTTGTTATCCATTGTTTTTCATTCCTCATAATACAAGGTTCCTGTTATAACAAGATTATCTGCAAGGTCCTTGGGCCTCTTATAGACTTTTTTCACGAGGCCGCCATATTGAATTTGAAAGCGAGATTAACTTTTCATTTTTGAATGTTGAGAGTGCATATGAAAGCAATAAAATGAAATTTCTTGAAAAATTTGCACCTGTCTACTCTGGTAAATAATTTCATATTCATGATCGAACACACAGAAATGTATCTTGTTTTAAGCAAGATTCTCAAAAACATTGAAAGGGAGGTTTGGAATGCAAAGAAATTATACACCAGTCTGGTGCCATCCTGATTGACAGTTTGCACTATATAGAGCAGATTCAGGGTACAAGATCAAGAATGGCCTTTGAATAGGGTCTATTAGCGAGGTTCCACTGTAGTACTAACATTCTCTTTCCAGCATTCGTTCGCTTCTTTGTGGAATGGTTGCGAACAGAGTGATTCAACCTACCTTGAGCAGTTCGTCGGGCAGGTCCCTGCCCTCGTTGATTCCGCGGTTCATGGAGATGAAGCGTTCCAAGGAGGGCTTTTCCTTCACGCTGACGTTGTGCAAGCTGGTGTTGAGCATGATGATGGAGAACGACAGCACGTAGCACGTGTCTGCAGGCGAATAAAGAGGAACATAAAGACCACATACAGAAAAAACAGCCGCACTTCTTAAACTGCCGCAAGAAAAATTTCAGATGCAAATGAAGTTTTACTGGAATCCCTGATACCGGTGCATCGTCAGTGTAAGAATCATGGGACATCATACGCACTTTTCAATCCATCATGTAAGCAGCATGTCCCTTAGGGTTTGTGTTTTTGCTCTGCATACTAAACGTGCAGACTGCAAACAGTGAATGAGAAGAAAGTGGGTGCTTGTCTTTAGAGCAATACCGAATCCAAATTTAGTCCAACTATTTGGAGAACAGACAAAAAACTTGCAATTAAACATTCTGCAGTGTGACAAATGACACTCCTGTTTTCTGACAATGCTGTACTTTGGCTTAATAAGTTCAGATTTTTCTGTTATTTCTGCAGCAACTCTCTCCTTTGGGGAAAGCACCAAGACTGGTGTCGAGGGCTGCAAAGGCTCTGTGGCAATGAGCCGGGGGACCAGACCATCATGCAATCCCCAAAAGTCACCAGCGGATCAAGCACAACCCAGGGTCCAATTTCAAGGCTCGGCTAACTCTGAAATTCTGTGTTTCTGATCTCCATCATGCCCTTAAATCATTAACACAAAACAATGACACTAATCCTGTAAGCACAAGAATCCTCCTTACCCAAAAGGAGAAAGGCCTTGCTATCCTGTAAAAATATGCTTCCTGTTAGCATACAGTTTTCCACTATGGCAAACAGACATTCTTATACAGTAAGGCTACCAATGACAGGGTACCTGCACCTAAAGGAAAATTAAATTCCATGACTTTTCCATGACCAAATTATGAAAATCCATGACCCAATGAAGCAATTTCTTCGACTATTTGGCCTTTTAATTTGCGAATACAATTACACATGTTATGTACTTATTTCCGAGAATAGAAAACCACACACAGTGTTTGAAAAATTCCATGACTTTTTCATGACTTTAGTCATTTTCACAAAATTCCACGACTTTTCCCAGGCCTGGAAAACAAAAACAAATTTCCATGACTTTTCCAGGCCGCAGGAGCCCTGAACGAACCCGGCCTTGGATTGGTCTTGCAAGACGTAGGGAGCAAGACCATTGTTGCAAAAGCACAAAAACCTCACCTGTAGATTCAAAGACTCCTGGGTTGGTCTCGCAATACCGCTTGGCAAAGCACTCCATCATTCTGTCAATCTTCTGTGCCTCACCTGGGAGACGGAAACTCCAGAGGAATTGTCTGCAGGGGGATAAAAGGAGAAAAAAAAAAACAAACCACTCCATTTTTGTTCTGTTTTTAGATCTCACAATTAAATACCACGGCCAAGATAATTCAAACTTCCACAAAACACCTGTGGCAGACTTTTACATAGAAGCAGCTAGCCTGTAGAAATTGTACCGTGTCACGAGAATAATGCTCATGTACCGTAGCTCTTGAAATCCAGAACGGAATGTTTCACGGGACAGCACATTTGTAGCGCGAGAAATCTACTCACGCAAAAGTACTTCAGAAAAATCCTTTGGCTAAGCACATAATTCTTCTGATATGATGTAACAGTAATTTGTTGGTTATGTTAGCTCTCAGGGCTATACATGTGCACATGAGTGGTCCCTCGTATTTTTGCCTGGCATTTCAGGCATTACAAGCAGGCAATAGTTCCACACATGTACTGGTATGGTGCCCATGTTATCTCATTTAAAACAACAACAACGAAAAGATCCCCCCCCAAGAAAACCTCAAATAAGGGTACACATTACGAGAAGCCAAACTTCTGAACATCCCTGAGTTGTGCTGCCCGCGCATCGCCATTTACTGCTTGTGGTCAACGGAACAAGTTTACATCTCTCATTTTCAACAAGTCACATTTGAAACAAGATATGGGACGGAGAGAACCTCCCCCCGCCGGCCTTTGTGTTGGTCAT